GGGGGAGGCTCACGAGTCATTTCCTTCTTCCTCTTTGCCACTTAACAAATCCTGAGACCAACTCGAGCAAGCCCACTTCCTCTGGGAAGGCATCCTGGAGGACCATGCCTGCGTTCGAGAGCTACCATCTGCAGAAACACTGGAACCCATCGAATCGGGTGCCTGAGGGGCAGGGGAGGCAGATGCAGAGACAGATGGGCGGGAGTTTCTGTACCAGAGTTTGTGTTATCACCCACAAGTGGCCTATGTTCAGTGATCAAATCCAATAGTTGTGTTGGTAGGACTTGCGGTTAAAGAGGCCTAGTTGCAGCTTTTTCCCCCATGCCAAGTCATAAGAATACCTGTTCACTGACCCCAGGTAATCAATCCTCTCACAGATCGGTGCTTTGCGTCACCATGGGGACAGGGCCCGGTCCACCAGAGTACAGAATTACTGAGGTGCATGCCCCATGGACCAGGTCAGGGGATGGCACAGCGTTGATCCATTAGACAAACCTACTGTGTACCAGGCGCTGTGTCAGACTGCAGGGATGCTGCAATGAGTAAGCCACAGTCTTAGTTGGCTCAGGCTGCATAACAAATACCACAGGCTGGGGACTTCACACCATCCGGAGGCTGGGAAGGCCAAGATCAAGGTGCTGGCAGATTTGGTTCCTGGTAAGGGCGTGGTTCCTGGCTTGCAGATGACCACCCTTTCTCTGTGTCCTCACATGGTGGGGAGGCGGGAGAGAGAAAGAGCACAAGAAAGCATTCTGTTCTCTCTTCCTCTTAGGGAGACACTGATCTCATCAGGAGGACCCCACTCTCACAATCTCATCTGAGCCTGACCGCCTCCCGAATGTCCCATTTCCAAACGCTATCACGTTGGAGATCAGGGCTTCAATATATGAGTTTGGGGGGTGGGGGGAACACAACGATAGCAGTCACAGTCTCTACCTGTAAGGAGCTTGTGGACCTTCATGGAAAATTGTTTGAATACACACACAGCTTGGAACAATCTATACGGTCAGCTCTCGAATAAATTGTGCCAGCCCCGGCTCTCTTAGCAAGGCTTTCTTATTCACCACATCACTTAGTCTCACCATGAGTCAGTGACCTACCTAGGTGGCCAGCGATACAGGAAAGGGGGATGGGGACGGTGGGACTTGTCCACCAAGTCACATTGCAAATCAAGGGCAGGCCTCTGCAGGTTGGCCAGGCCTCCTGTCAGCCTAGGCCTCCTCCACTGTTACAATCACAGCATTTTCCAAGGGAAGCCTGGCACTGTCAACTTCAATTTTCATTCCCTTTCATTTAAAAATAATAAAACTAGGCCAGAGAATATTTAGGAAGAGGCACACCATACAATCAAAGACAAGAAGATCAGTCAGACCTATCCTAGTGGTTTATAATTCAAAGTGCTCCAGAGCACACTGAGATTAGCAGGTAGCCTAGGGGAACAGAAAACCACCATGAGTAAATACATCAACATCTTAACGGACTTATATGCTGTCAACAGCCAGGTAAAGTGCAGGTGTGCAGTGCGGCCCCTGCGGCCAAGCTTCCAGCAGGCCAGATGAACTCGGGGGAGCCGGGGTTCCCAGAACTGCCTGCATCACCCTCATGTTCAGCTGTCCGGAGCAGGCTGGGAGCTAGGAAAAAGGACTTGGGTCCTTGGAAACTGGTTGTTCTCTGGCAAACAACATGAGCTTCAAGTCAGTGGCAAGACGGTCGGCTTCCTTGGGAGGGTTTGGCTCCCCACCCCCCAGTCCCAGGGAGCTGCTCCAGGGAGAGAGGGCTTTGAGGCCAGAGGGGTGACTGCTCGGCACATGCGCTGACCAGAGAGAGTGCCTGGTGGGAGTGGGGGATGCTAATGGTTTGGCAAAGAAAATACCCTTCACTTTTTGGCAAGAGGAGTGTTGTGGCCCAAAATAGCATGTTCCCACATATCAGTGCTCTTCCCTGATCCCGGCACAGGACAGAGGGAAATGAATGGTATCCCATAGCTTGCCCCTTGGGGTAAAAAGAGAAAGGTGTCTCCGAGGTTACTCACGTTTGGAGGGGGAGGTGCCCTAGGCCAGCACTGTCCAATAGAACTTCTGTGATGATGACATTGTTCAATGTCTGTGCCATCCAACACCACAGCCAGTAGCCACATGTGGCGATGGAGCACTTAAAATGTGACTAGTGAGGCTGAGGAACTGAATTTCAAATTTTATTTGATTTTAATTCAAATAGCCACACCTGGCTACTGGACAGTATAGCCCTAAAGATTAAGCTCCTATTAAGAAGTAGAAATGTTGTCTCTCCCCCTAATCTAGAAAGAACTTTCTTTTGTTGTTGGGGATAGTGGATGGTGTCACATAATTCTGGCTTTGCCATTTAAGCTGTAGGACTTGGACAAGTAACCAGTGTAAAGCATGTCGTACAGTGCCGGACACACAGCACGCACTCGATAAGTGGTAGCTATTGTCATTAGTGTGATAACCTCTGTGTCTGGCTACTTGCACAGCATTTGTGGAAGTGGAAATTGTACCTTGGAAAGAGAAGAAAAGGGTTTCCCCAAACACAGCTCCGTCCCCATAAGGAGTGACCCAGCCTGGTTAGTAAGGAGGCTGGCGGCAAGTTTAAGGGCTTGGCTGAATTGATGTCATAGGTCACATAATGGGTTTTAATTTCAAGGAAAGAGAACTTTGGAGCAGACACAATATCTCCACGTGGGTCTGTGCAGGTCTGCCAGCCTCCAGGCTGTGGCAGGGGCTGTAGCTCTGCCCGCAGCTTGTCAGTCCTTCCACTGGGTTGGCACCCTGGCTGGCAGCCACAGCTCCCAGGTGCCGCCTGCGGACGTGCATTCATTCATTCAACGGACATGGACTGAGGGCCTATTGTACGCTGGGCACTTGGGGTCCAGAGATGCTGAAAATACAGTCCATGCCCTTTGAGGCTCACAGCCTGGTGTGAAAACAGGTGTGCTGAACCCCAATTTGAAGCCCGCACAGGTGCTTTGGAGAGGGATGTTCGTGATCACCGTCCAATCCAGGGACAGGGGAGGAGCTGGTCACAGGGAGCGAAGCCCTGGGGAGTGCAGCCGGAGCAGGCACTGGAGGATGGCCAGGCTTGCATTTACGAGAACAGCAGCCTGGAGCTGTCTGGAGAGCACATGGGGTGATGGCTGTCCACCTGGTGTGCCCCTAGGGGTGGGGCGGGGGGTACAGTGCAGGGCCCTGGGCAGGGCTCTACTGAGCAGTACATGCCTCTACCCACAGGGGTGTCAGGGGCCAGCTGTACCCTGGGACTCAGTGGCTGTATGCGGCCCAGGCCTTTGTTAGGTTCCAGAGTCCAGCTGTCACATGAGCCTTTGCGGAGTGGTGGTGATTGCCACATCGGCCGATGGCTTTGCCTGTATGCAGAAGCTTGGCTGTTTTGCAGAATGTTTCCCATTGCCATTCTATTGTGTTCACCACAGCACGTGAGAACGCCGGGGAGGTGTGGGAGGGGGGTGTATGTGTATGCAACCAGAGAAACGAAGTGACTCAGTGACATCACGCAGCGGCAGAGCAGAGAACAGAGGCCTCCCTGAGCCCTCAGCATTCCCACCGAGAGGGGATGAGTTTTAGGTGGCACTTTCAGCCTCTCTCCTTCCCCGTCCCTGCCTCCAGCTGTGTTGCTTTCCTTTCTATATATTTTGGCACAGCTTACCTAGACAATGCTGCTAAAAATATGGGTGACATCCTCAGGTATATTATTGATTTCGATTTTGAAAACCTGGTCATTTTTAAGTGTCCCCATTTCTACTATAGCCCACAGGAGAGGTGAAAGCTGGTGGCTCTGGCAGGTGACAACTTTTGTAACAGGAACTGGAGACCTGGGAAGTGTGACCGTTGCATGAGCAGAGCTGCAGCGCCTGGGAGGGGGGGAGGGGGTGTGGGGTATCATCAGTGGTTAGGGGTCCTGTTGTTAATGCCATGGGAACTCTATCCTTGGCCCTGGGTGCTATCTATGCTGGTAGATTCATTCCACGGGGCTTCCCGGAACTCCTTTCCTGTCGCTTCTGTTTGAAACACCAATCTCCTTGGGAGCTCTAGCTCGTGAAGTCACATGTGCCTCAGTCAGGTGCCCCTGGAGCAGCTTGGATTGGGGGCAGGGGTCCTCCAGAGGCTGAGAGTGACCCAGGTGGACCTGCTGAAATAGACTGGTCCATGAAGCGAGCTGTGAAAGCAGGCAGGCCTGCCCCCAGGTATGGTGTTGGGAGTAAGGGGTTGGTTTTTACTGCCGGGTGGAGCCCTCCTGGAATTCTTCAGTTCCTGGCTCTGAAAGGCACCTGTTAGCTGCAGGGGTCCCTCAACAGGCTGGGATAGCGCCTCCAACAGCCACATCCACCGCCTGCTGTGAGGAGCTCTGCCTTGCGGAATCCCAACTGCCTGGGCCTGTGGAATCCCAACTGCTCCCCGACACGGCCAGCTACAGAGGGGCCACGGAGAAAAAGGCTAGTTCATGTTCCTTTCACACTTTTAACTTAAAAAAAATCACTTTCCCTTCCGGCCTCGGTTTCTGTATCTATGAAATGTAAATTCTGAGGGACTTTCTCACTTGGGACAAGATTATTACTTCTGATCCTGGTCATCACCAGGTTTCTGCTTTGGGGTCTAGGTACCAGAGTGTTGAGGGGCGAGTGAGCTGGGTGGCGGGCCTGCCTTCTCATCTGGGCTCTGCCACTAGAGCTGTACGGTCTCAGCTGTGGGGAAGCCACTCTGTGCTCCATTTATTTTATTTTCCCATCTGTAAAATGAGATAATAATACCCGTATAACCTAGACCACACATTGTTATTGGAAGGCTCCCACGGGATAATATATGGGAAAGGACTTTGTAAAAAGATAAGTAATGTATATGTAAGGCGTGTTGTTATTAAGTGACAGTTGGAAACTGGAATTGAGCCCAGCCCTGTCCACACCAGCTGCTTCCCCCGGGTGTTCTAAGCAGCCCTTTATGGGAGATCTCTGGCTTCGCTTCTGAGGAGGAGGGGCAGCAAGGCTGTAATTCTTCTATCCCTCCCTGTATCCCAGTGCAGCGGTTCTCAGCCTGTGGGTCGCCGCGACCCACTTGGGGGTCGAACGACCCTTTCACAGGGGTCGCCTAAGACCATCGGAAAACAAAAAGATATTTACATGAGGATTCATCACAGTAGCAAAATGACAGAGAGTAGCAACGAAAATAATTTGATGGTTGGGGGTCACCACAACATGAGGAACTGTAATAAGGGGTCGCGGCATGAGGAAGGTTGAGAACCTGGCCACATAGGAAGGTGGGCTTTGGCAAGGCCGGCAGCTAGGGCAGCTCTGATTCTGCCCCTTTCAGGAACCACCCACCCCTCAAGGGCTGCGCAACAGGGGCTCCTGCCTTCACCGCCGCCTCTTTCCTACAAGGGAAGGCTTTGCACCTCCGGGGCCCCCAGACTCTTTCCTTGGCGCTGGGGCAGTCTGTGGGACTGGCTAGGGTAGCCCTGCCTCAGGAATCCTGAGACGGGAGCGGCTGGGGCAGGGGGGGGGGGCCTTGGGGTGACCCTGCCCTGTTCCCATTCCTGCCCGGCCGGCTCAGGGCTCGCATCCGTCCTTTTTCTGCCAGCCAGCTTGTTGTCGACTTAGACCTCCCAGCCTCACGGGGCTGCTGTGCGGCTGCCGCAACGTTGGCGACGGCGGCGCTGCGGAGGAGACGGAGGGCTTGGGAGGCGGCGCCACGTGAGCCCCCGGCCGGCCGGGGCTAGGGCCGCCGCGGGAGGTTACCGTATTTACCGAGGCCAGTGCCGGACCCTGGGGGGCGGGTCGCTGCGGGCGCGCAACCGTATTTGCCGGGAGCCGCGCAGACCCTTTCCGGGAGTGCGAAGCGCCGCGACTTAATTACGTATTTATCTAGGGTTGCGTGGTTCCCCCGCGGGGACGCTGCGGGGGCGGGAGGGCGTGTTGTTCATCCCCTGAGGGAGCCGGGGCTTGCAGCCTGGTGGTGGTGGGGGGTTGCGGTTGCAGAGTGGGAGGCCTACGTATTTCCATAGGGGTGGGGTTGCGTCGCAGAGTTTACCATATTTCTCCAGGGTCACTCCGGCCGCAGGAGTTGGCAAGGTTGTGCGCTGGGGTCGGGTGGGTGGGGTCAGCTCTTCTGATTAATGCAGCCGTTTGATAAGAACAGCAGTTCGGGAGGCTGGCGGTCTTGATGGGGGCGAGGGAGAAGGGGCCTGGGAGTCGCTGCGCTGCGGGAGAGTTACCGTATTTGCGTTGGGCAGCGCAGACTAGAGGAAAGAGCCACTGCTGGCGACGGAGGAACAGGGGCACAGCCAGGGCTGTGAGTGTGGGATGGGATGGAGGAACTTGGGGGAAAGCAGAGGGCTGTGGCCTTGGACCCTTCTTGGTGGGGCAGGGTCTGGATCAGGGGTATAGCTGGGGAGAGTGGGGAGACTGCCCGGTGACAAGGCCAGAATGAGATTGGCCAAGGGGACTCTGATGGTATGTCTTTGCCAATGTCAGTGCAGCTGCCTGGGGAAACACTTGTGGGTGGGGTCTATTGCAAGTAGTACTTGTCCCTCTTCTCCAGAGTGAGTGTGTGTTCCACCCTGGCCTGAGGGGGCGGGGGGAGAGTATCCCTGAGACCCCACTCTGCAGATAGATTGACTGAGGTTGCAGTAAGCAGTGAGATCTGCAAGTGTGGAGGAGGCCTGCACAGGGTCCAGGGGACTTGCCCGCGAGCTTCCCTGATGGCAATGGGGGTGGGTACACAGGGGAGTGGCCAGCTCAGCCCACCCCGGAGCTGGCCTCAGTGCTCTGCAGGAGCAGGAGCAGGAGGTTTTTGGAGGCATGGGGGTGGTGGCGGCAGACAGTGCCCTACAGGAGCAGTGGCCCTTTGGTATCAATGGCTCTGGGGTGGCTGGGATGATGGTGGGGGTCCTGTGTGTGTGTGTGTGTGTGTGTATTTAGAGGGAGTTTAGTAGGTGAGCAGCTAGTACATTGAGACAAGCTTTCAACAGTGAGTCAGAAAACTGAGGGCCTAGTCCTCACCTTGCTGTGTGACCTTGGGCAAGTTGACCTCACTGAGCCTCAGTTTCCCCTTCTATAAAGTGAGATTCAATCAGCCTTGTTGTAAGGACAATAGGAAACAATTTAAGAGGAATACAGTGCCCTGGAGAAGAGAATCCTGAGGAGAACTGGCGTGACCGGGATGGAGCTGAACTTGGGGGTGCTTGTGGAGCGTTGAGTGTTGCTCAGGCTTTGCTGTGAGGACACCAAGAGGAAGGAAGCTGAGGTGACCCCAGGAACGCACACTCTGGTTAAGTGACTTGCAAACCTCGTACAGGCATGCTTCATTTTGATAAAAACAAGAGCTGCTGCTGTTAGTGCTTAACTGAGGCTACTTGCAAGTTTAAAGGGTTTTAATTTTGTTTCTTTTCTTAATTTTTGCAAAAATATATCTTCCAACCACTGGTGATCCTACTCTCCCCTCCAGATTGGGGATACACCTCCCTACCCCCTGCTTGAGAATCTGATCAGAGAGAGAAGACATATCCAGGTGCAGGGAAACTTCCAATACTAGGAGGCTCTGCATATTACTCATTGGCATTTATTCAGTGCCTTGTATGGCAGACACAGTGCTTGGTGATGGGGATAAAAGAAGGCAGCTCATCCTTAAAGGCTCTCAGGCGAAAAGATGAGGTGGGGTGACTGACCCGCATGCAGTGTGATGAGTGAGGGTCATAGGGTTGGACCACGTGGCTCAGGAGGGGCTGGAGGGGGTCAGGGAAGGATTCCAGGAAGAGGTGTCACTTGAGAAGTGCCTGAAGGAGGGGCAGGGTGTGACCAAGGAGTAGAAGAGAGGGAGGGACACCCAGCAGGGGAACGCTGGCTTGAACAATACTGTAGAGGGGCGGATGCTGGAAGTTATGCGAGGACCTTGGAGTGTCCTCCCCGAGGCTGGGCTGGCTGATCCTCAGGTCCCCCCCTGACCCCCTCTCTCTGCTTCTTCCTCTCCAGGGACTGGTGATTGCAGTCGGAAGTGCCCATGACCGAGCTGGCATCCTCCGAGGGCGGGTCCCCTGCGGGGGACGGGGAGGAGGGTCTGGGGGACGAGCGAGGCCTGGTCATCCACCACCCTGCGGAGGAGCAGCCCCACCGCTGCCCGCTGTGCGGCCAGACCTTCTCGCAGCAGCCCAGCCTGGTGCGGCACCAGAAGGCGCACGCCGGGGCGGGCCGCGCGGCCTCCTTCGTGTGCCCCGAGTGCGGCAAGGCCTTCAGCGTGAAGCACAACCTCGAGGTGCATCAGCGCACCCACACGGGCGAGCGGCCCTTCCCCTGCCCGGAGTGCGGCCGCTGCTTCAGCCTCAAGCAGAACCTGCTCACGCACCAGCGCATCCACAGCGGCGAGAAGCCGCACGAGTGTGCGCAGTGCGGCCGCTGCTTCCGAGAGCCCCGCTTCCTGCTCAACCACCAGCGCACCCACGCGCGCATGCCCGCGCCGCACCCGCGCCGCCCCGGCGTCTTCGGGGAGCGGCGGCCCTACTTCTGCGCGCGCTGCGGCAAGAGTTTCGCGCGCGAGGGCTCGCTCAAGACCCACCAGCGCAGCCACGGCCACGGGCCCGAGGGCCAGGCGGCCCATCTCGGCCGCGTGCTGTGAAGTGCGCAGGGCCCGCTGTGGTCGGCTGTTTCCTGCCCCAGAGCCGCGTCTGTGGCCCCCGGGGGTGGCGCTGGGCTGCACCCCTGCCTCTGGATGGCATCCCAGGAGACACAGAGGGCTGGCTGAGGGGTTTAAAGGCCTGGGTCGCCCGGCTTTGCCGCCTGCTTCTCCTCCTCCCCAGGACCCTCTGGCTGACTGCACACAGCTGCTTTGGGCTCCTTCGAAGGTTTTCCTCCTTGGGCTTGCCTAGCCTGGAGCAGGTGAGACCTGAGGGCGGGCCAGACCCCTCTCAGGCTTGCAGGGGCCAGGGTAGGTCTGGAGGGGAGATGTTGGGTGGGGGAGGTGAGGCTTGCTGGGCTATGGTGGGTCTCTCTATGACCAGCTTCTTACTACACTAGAGCTTCATTCTTAGAATCTCAGAGTGGAAAGCGACCTGAAGAGGGCCCCTACCCACAGTCCGCAGGCCCGCCCTAGCCCCCAAGGTGTCCTGGTTCCAGCATTTACTATCTGGTGTCCTTGAGGCGTCCTTGTATTTCATGACTCAGTTTGCTCATCTGTAAGTTGAGCTAAAGATGAGGGACGCTGTGAGGGTCGTAACTGCCGTTACTAGATAGGAGATGGTGACATCACTGGTCCAGAAACATTTTTGAGCACTCCTGTGTGCCAGGCACTGTTCTGGGCTGGGCTGGAATCTGCAGAGCAGGCACAGACATAGGCCCTGTCCCATGAGGTGCCACACCCAGTGCTCATCCAGGATGATGGGGGCTCACCCCTATAGTTTAGGGGATAGACTATAAAGTGCTGGGAGTGGGGGGAAGGTGACTAGTGTCACCCAAGGCAATTTGTTGGTTTGAATTGGGTCCTAGGGATGAAGAGAGGCGACCTAGGGAGAGCAAGGGTGGATGGAGCACTCGGAAGAGGGAGTCCGATAGTCGAGGCTCATATCTGCCCTGCAAAGGATTCTGTGGCCAGGGAGAGGGGACTCCGAGAAGAGCACAGTGACCTCAGACTGCAGTCTGAGAACCGGAGGCTCTAAGTGGGACGAGCAGGAGCCTCAAGGGTCTTGGGGTCATCTGAGCAAGAGAAGATGAGGCCCCCAGCTAAGAGGCTTGATCAAGGTCATGCAGTGAGAAAGGGGGGAGCCGGCACTCGCCCCAGGGCCTCCGAGTCCAAGTTGGCACTCTGAGGCGTGGGCTGCTTCAGCCATTTGGAAGATGAGACTGAAGCTTGCCCAAGCTTGCCCCAAGTCACACTTAGTACTTAGTGGGACCGCGGTGCAAGCCTGTGACTTGTTTTAGGTTCTGGGCCCCAAGACCCTTCACCTTTACTGCACCTCCCTTAATAGAGGCTCTTACTGGTGGGAAAACGGAGCTGCGAGGATGTAGGGATGTGGCCAGGGAGCGTGTGGCAGGAACGTGGACAGGGGCATCACTGGGTGAAGGGCAAGTGGCATCCACAGCGGGACTTGGGAAGAAGGAAGCTGGGGCTCAAAGGGGACCTGCGGTCACAGCGCCCTGGCTCCGTGCCTAGCGCTGTGCTCGGTGCGGGAGACCCAGCCCTGCCCTCTGCCCTTCCTTAGAGCTTCAAGGCTCCTTGGGGGCCAGTTGCCCTCTGCCTGCCACCCCCAGGTGGCTATTGCAATGTGGACTAGTACTTCGTGGCAGAGATTAAGAGATTAAACTGGGACCTGGGACATCCAGAGCCAGTCACCAAAATGCCCCGAAGTCAAGTCATCTCATCTGTAAATGGATTGATAATCCTTGAATGCATGGTAGGGGGCTAAAAGCACCAGCTAAGAGCCCTGGGCAGGTGCAGGTTGGCCCAGCTGACTGCCCCCTCCTAGCCCCAGAGGGGTGGCTGGGCAGGGCTGTGTCACTCGCCAAATCTACCCTGGTCTCTTTGTCTCTGTGAACAGATGCAGACTGGGCAGGACCTCTGGGCAGTGTGCAAGGCACATCTGGGCACAGACACTAGGAGTGCCCCCCACTGGGGCCCTGCTCCCCGGTATGAGGACGCGTGCCCTAAGAAGACCTACCTCGGGAGGTGCCCTGCAGTGACTGCAGAGGGGACCGGTGGAGCCTGGAATTGGAGGCGGCTTCTGTGTCCTGGTGGCAAACTCCCCGAATCTGTTGGGAGTCATGACTGGGGAAGAGCTTATCCTGGCGGCCTGGTCACAGACCTCCACTGTCATGTGGCAGCAGGGACCACACCTGTGTGGAGAGCCAGCTCCTCCACTTCCTTCTGGCCCACCAGAGACAGGAAGTAACTGCCCTAAGAGGACACAGCACATTGGTAGCAGACCTGGCTCTAGAGGCACAGCCTTCCCGTGGGTGTGATCTGTACTTCCAGGCTCACTTGCCTTTCAGAGCAGTGGTTCTTACCACTTTTGTAAGTGGTAAGGCCTTTGAAAATCTGACAAAGATTATGAACCTTCTCCCCAGGAAAACACACATACTCACGTAGAGGCAAGAATCTACCAGCAATTCCAGGAGCTTCTGGACTCCAGGCTGGAACCTCGGCTCCAGGACCGGTCACCCTCCACCCTTTCCTTACATGACCTCCCAAGGCCACCGTACCAGTAGCATTCCATCCCCCTGCTGGTCCTCAGTCCCTTGTTCAGGAATAAAGAATTCTGAGGAGGGGATCCTGTTAGTCACTCTTTCCCAGGCCTAACAAATGGTGCACCGGGGCTCCTGGAGCGGCAGTCCTTCCCCAGACACTGCCGGAGGCCCCCTGGGCTGGCTTTGCTCTTCCCTGTTTTGGGGCTGCTGGCTGTGGCTACCTGGCTGCTGGCTTCATGGTGCAGCCCCGGGCTCTGATGTCACTGAGAAGGTTGTGGAGAAATCGAGCCTTTCTGGGGACGCGGTGTCGGCGGAGGAGTGGGGGGAGTCTCTCCCCCGGGGAGGGACCCATGCCCGGCAGCCACACCCAGCTGTTCGGCTGCAGCCAGGGGGAGGCTGGCGGGGAGACAGAGCCTCGCTTCTGGTGCCAGCTGGCTCTGGGCAGGAGACAGGCAGCAGAGAAGCGTCTGAGTGTCCTGGGAGTCCCACAGAACAGGTGGAGGATGGATGCCAGGCCAGCAGCAGGGCGAGGACTCCGGGTCTTCACGCCTGAGCGGGCCGTCCTGGAGCTAGCCCACCAGCCTCCGGAATGAACTGCCCATCAGGAAAGATGTGACCAGTCGGGGCTGGGGCGGGGTTTTGATGACAACCTGACTTCATGAGGCTGGTTATATTTAGTGAAACACGTAGGGGTGGGGAGAGGCCTTTCGTCACAGAATTTAGATCAAAGCCCAGCGACGCGAGTTGTGGGGGCCATGGAGGAATTGTGTTTAGGTGGTGGTGGGGTCCCAGGGCTGGGTTGGGAGGCCCCATCAGTTCCTGCCCTGGGGTTTTGCTTGTCCCATCTCCAGTGCAGTTTGGCGCATAGGTTCTTGCTGACCATCTGCAGTGCGCCTCACCCTGGGGTAACAGACAGTCTGGGTGGGGGTTCGGGGGTTCGGGGCTCAGAGAAAGAGCAAGCAGTCCAGGCACCAGGAGCTTCCACTCATCTGATCCTTGGCCAGCGTGAAGGGAACCTCACAGACTCACCCCTTCCCTCGTGATTGTCAGCTCTTCCCCTCCCCCCCTGTAACTGTGATTCCTCCTTCCTGCCTCTGCCTACCCTGAATGGCTCTGAAATGTGTCACCCCCCTCCCCTCTGCCCCACCAGGCCTAGCTTCCCTAACCATTCCCTTTCTCCTCTGAACGGGATCTGTGTTAACGCACCATCTCACCCCAGATATTGCGTGCGGTCTTACCTTCCGGCTTCCTGTGTGTGGTGTGCATATGCGTGTGTTTCTGTCTTAAATCTCCAACAAGACAGTGAGCTCCCTGGGGGCAAGAGATGTGTCATTTATTCTTGAACCCCAACAGAGTCTAGCTTTACACTCAGGACATACTTGCTGACTGGCTGATGGGTCAAGTGCTGGAGGCTGGGGAGCGGGGGGTGCGGGCTGGTGATTGGAGGTGCAAAAGGGGGGAGGACATGTGAGTTCACTAGTGGGGACATTTTGTTGGGCTGTGGGCTGGCTCCCCTGGTGCAATATTGGCCACGGGAGGCCTCACATACCCCCTCCTTGGGGCAGTGGGTCAGGCAAGACCTCTCAAGTCTCTCAGGATTGTGCGGAAATGGTTGCCCAGGCTGGATACTTCCATAGGTGACTGACACCCACCGGAGCTGACCGAGTGGAATAAATGTTCTGTTGACATCAGTTGGTATGAGGAGTGGTCATTTGGGGCTCAGTTAGAAGCAGGGCAGTGGCCTCTAGCTCTGCCTCCATCATTTCTTAAGGAGTCACGTTCGTGGTGGCCAAAGGCTGTATGTAGGAAGCATAGCTCAAAAGGCCCAGCGATGAATTAGCTTAGCCCCCTGCCCCATCTGGATAATGACTGCTGTTTGGAGTTGGGTAACGGATATGGGGGCCCCTTGAAGCAGCCCCAACCGCCTGCTCAGCCCACAGTGAGGCCAGACCTGCTGAGAGCCTTCGGGCGATTCCCTTTGGTGCCTGAGAGGTGGGCCGCTGAGAGCGCTCACATCAGAAGACCACCTCCAGTCACGTATCTCCCCTGACTTTAATCTTCTCGTCTGTGACATGAGGAGAACAAGTCATGTTCCTCCTACCTCACGAATGTGACAATGCAGCATCCACAAGGCACAGCGTGGAGGCAGCGGTGTGCTGTCACCACCGTCCTCCTCCCGTGGTGCCCCTGGAGCTGACCACTTCATCTCAGCCCACGAGGCTTCCTCAGCAGAAAGCGCTGGGCAGCAGAGTTAGTGCTGCCACCAGGGAGCTGCGACTGGGGTGAGTGACTTCCCTCCTGTTAGTGGTGAGGGACTGGGCCCGATCATCACAGAGGCTCACTCCAGAACCTTCCTTCTGTGCCTGGCTCTTGGACCCAGATTTGGCGCTGCTTGAATCGTCCTATCAGCCAAGCAGGATCCTGAGAGGTACTAACTCAAGGACAGGGCTTTTTAAGCCTGGTGTACTTGGGGGTTAATCAGGCAGGACTCTTTGTCCCCACTCCCAGCATCTCAGCCTCTGCCTGTCCAGCCTCAGTCCCTCCCCTAATGGCCTGAACCAGTATCAGGGCTGACTCTGGGTGGCCTCAACTGGTCGATGCCCATGACCAGACCCGTCACTGTGCCAGGCCAGGGGAGTGCAGTGTTCTGGGCTTTCAGTGACTGATGCTGAGGGGTCAGCTCCACTGGGAGTCTGTGGTCTCCGAGTGGGGAAGGGATGACCCACCAGGGAAAACCGGAGGCCGGTGGCAGGTGCGTGGATTCCAGCGTGGCAGACCATCGCCCTGCTACCGGCCAGCGGCGTTGTGTCACGTGGGAGCTTGTTATAAATGCAAAACGCAGCCCCACTCTAGACTCTAGATCAGAAACTGTGTTGTAACGAGATCCCCAGGCAATCTGTGTAGGCAGGTGCTCTGCACGACGTCACTTTTCCCGCTCCCTTTTTGGCCCGACTGCCTAAAAGGAGAATGAAACTTGTGCTGTGGAGGGACAGAGGCAAGATGCCGCCTCACCTAAGTCCAGGCCCCCGGCCATGGTTGCCTCAGGACACCCTGGGGACCAGAGCATACATCGGCCTTGCTGAGAATTTACTGTGACTACAGAACACAGTACAGGAGAGAAAGGCCCAGAAAAGGGCCAGTCCCAGGTGAAAATGCAGGCAGCATTCAGAACACCTTCAAAACACCGCGAAGCCTCTCTTTCCTCACTCTGATAGTGCCAAGCTCGAGGATGTCTGCCACGGGTGCTGTTGAGGCCCTTTCCAAGCTGTGGTGAGTGTGGCGGCAAATGGTTCACAGCTGCCGAAGGGGCAGTGTGCTCAGAACTCTCCTGGCCTCCCGCTGAGGCCGCAGCGCTGGCTCCTTACCTCACCGGGTCCTGCTCCCTTTCTCCAGGGAGCACTTCCTGATACTCTCGTTCCCCTTGAACCGAATCCTTGTCTCAGGCTCCGCTTCTAAGGACCCCGACCTAAGGCAGTGCCTCTGAGGAACACACGCTCAAAGCATCGCGCACATGTAAGAGATCATAACTAGAATCTTTTTTTGGCGGTTCCGTGGTGCTGGTTACCTGTAGGTTTTCAGGTAAGTGGATTAACAGATGGGAGGTGGCCATCTCCAGGTCACAGGACCTCACCAACTATCTGAAGGCCCCTGTCAAGGGGACACAGGGCATATGTATCTAGTTCAGGGGTCAAGGGTTGGGGTCTAGTCTGACTATGTGGCTTTGGCCAAGGTCCCTACCATTCTGAACCCCAGTTTTTCTATCATGAAGTGAGTGGTGTAGATGGGCTGCCCTGTGAGGTTTTTCTCAGGCCTGAAGTTGTAGTTTCTTCCTGATTGTGTGGGCTCTCTCGGGTGGTGAGCAGAGGCCACGTAGGCCAGTGGTGGGCTGTGTCCAAGGCCTTGTGAGCTATTAGCTAGCTCCACATGCAGCTGGGCCCCCCAGAACGGCATCCCCCCATCTCTGTTCCCGACAGCCTTCCTATGACCAGCCTTGGCCTTCCTACAGCTGTCACCATCTCTATTCAGTAGCAGATCCTGGGAGAACTGGAGCTGGATTTTTTTTTTTTCCAATTAGGCAAGAGAACTGCAGATTCTAGCTGCAGAGAGAGAAAGGCACTTTGAAGCAGACCTTCCTTGTTTCTGGAAGGTCATTGCACCTTTTCGGTTAAACCCACTTAAAACAAATACCCACCGGTATTCTTGATAGTCTCAAGTCAGCCTTGGACTTGGGAGGCATTTCAAATGCAGATGCTTTCAGACCAGCATGTTAGCTATTGTTTATGATAATTGTTTTTAAAAGGTTGCTGTTAGGCAGAGCACCTGGGGACATGGGCCTGAGATGCGGGAAGGACCTGAAAGTCTCTCCTTGGTGAGGGGCGAGGCTGGTCCTTCCCCTGGCATGTGGAAACCTGCTAGGGAACATGCAGTGTCCCCAAGATTTGGTTTAAAGCATGTGGGTTCCAAAGAGTCTATTTAGAGGAGCAGTGGGAACTGTGTCCACATATGCGGGCTCCAGAGGCAGGTGGTGTGATGGTGCACGTGGGACCTGAGGGAAGTACTGCCTGAGGGACAGAGGGACAGGCAGCCTCCACTGCGTGCCAGCACTCCCGGAATCATTGGGGGGGTGTGGTGTGGGGGTCCTGGAGGAAGGATGGACCGTGTGGAGTTTTAGGGACTGAAGGGGGCTCAGTCTTTATTTGACCACAAGGAGCAGCACGTTTCGGGCACTGCCCATGGCTTTCCCATCTCCTGTCTGGATTTGCTCATGGCGTTGCTGCCTCATGGTTAATGTCTGTTCTCTTTTCTGACTCTGTCCTTGGCTTCCTTGCCACCTGCTCTGTGCGCCCCCTCTTTGTCTCACATGCGGAGTCCCCGAGGCAGATGTTGGTGTGACTGGTCACTGTCCTTTAGGGCATCCCTCGGACAGAGTCCATTCTCCTGGCATGGCTGATGTTGCTAGTGAGTCTCGGAAATCATATTACAATATATAAATGTATCAGAGTAACATGTACACCTTAAATGTATACAATGTTACATGTCAAATTTGTTCAATTAAAAGAATGAACCGAAATAGACTGCATAGGTATTGTGTGACTCCAGACTTTTTGCAACAAATGTCAGTGGGAGAGTGGCGCCCTCTAGTGCACAGTTGGAGAACTGATGTCGAGCGAATTGGACTTGGTACGGAGGGCTTTCTCTGCTGCCCTGAGGGCCCCCACCTTTATATTAAAGTGTACAAGTCAGGGACCATGTAGGTTGTCAATATTTGTTGAATGACTAAATAGAGCCATGAGGCTTTTCGGAGTGCCCTATGAAAGTGAGCTAAAAAAAAAACAAACAGACTTGTAAAAGTGAATTGTCTCCTTAGAGATGAAATGAAGATTGATGGCAATTACAGGGGAGAAGAGAAAATTGGAGGCAAAGAAATTCGACACGTGTTTGTTTTCTAGGTTTCAAGAGGAAATAAAAGGAAACATGGAGTAACTTTCCAAAGACAATTAGCCAAAAAGCCAGCAATCAAAGTTTGCTCATAAAAAGCCTTACAAATTATACAAGGGAGGAAGCCTGAAAGGGGTGATGCACCAGCTCTGCTAGCTGAGCCGCCAGCAGGACCAGAGAGGGGCAGGCAAGCCTGAGAAAGGCACCCCCGCCACCATCTGTAAGTAAATCTTCAAAATGCAGACGTTCGTGGGGGAAATTGGAACACTTATTGGATATTTGATAACAGGATTATTTTTTTTTCTTAGGTTATAATTAGGTTGTTGTGCTTATGCTAATAAAAGGATCTTGAACTTTTCAGAGATGCATACTGAATGAAATCAACGATCTCTGAGATTTGCTTCAGAATCGTCTGGGGGGCGGGGCGGGAGTGAGAGGGCGGGGCTAGACGTGGAACCACATTGGCTTCGTGTTGGTCATTTGAAGCTGGGGGAGAAGAAACTGGGAACCTCTTATGTATGCTCTTCTCTCGACCATCGTCCTGTGTTAGAAAATTTCCATGATAACAAGTTGAAGTATGTTTGTATCCAATCCTTCTAGCCTTTTGAAAATTCCCCTCATAATACTCCTAAAAATGCTCAAGTGTTAGTGAGGAAAGGGAAGTGTTTGAGGCTTATTTATTTATATATTTATTTTTAAAAGCAAACTATTAAAAAAAATTTTTTTTAGATAAATCAAAGAACAATATGTGGATCAAAGGGTATAAGCTTTATTAATCTTTATTTCAAAATTAAAAAAAATTTCACTTAACAGTTGACATGTAATATTACAGCATAGTGGTTAGACGTTTATATAACCTATGAAGTGATCCCCCTGATAAGTCTAGTATCTACCTGGCACCATGCATAGTTATTACAATATTACTGACTATATTCCCTGTGCTGTACTTTACATCCCTGTGTACTTGAGGCTGATTTAAAGTTTTGGTTTTGAGCCATTTCCTTTGGTCCAAGAGGTCATGACAGGTGAGAAGGGGGAGGAGCTAAGGGGACCCCTTGGCTTTGACACCTCCTGCTGGGCTTTGATTTCGGTCCCCTCTCCTAGGGAGGCCACAAAGCAAAGGTTCCCGTTTTCCAGCATGGTCACATGCCCTCAGGGAAAAGCACTCTCAGTCCTGCTCACATCTCTGGGTCTCACTTTGGTCTGATGGTTCCTTTTTGCCTTACTTGGTTTCTTCTCAGAAGATATATTTATCCTGTTTGGTGTTAGTTCCGTTCCGTGTGAGGGTTGGCGTGAATGTCTTAGGGGAAGCAGGAATGGGTCATGACCTCCTGGACGTCTCTGCTTGCCCTGTCTCCAGTGTCTCAGACTCCGCATCCACACCCCAACGTGCTCATCCCGCCAGAAAAGGCCAGCCTCTCACAGCCCTAACTCCATGAAGGCTGCTAGAAAGCGCTGTGACCCCAGACTGTTTCACAGCCAATCCGCCCAGGTGACTGCCTTCCTGTGCATCAGAAAATGGTGCCTGCTCTTCAGGTTAAAAGTTTGTTTTAAAAAGCATATTATTTCTTAATAATAATTATTGTAACGAGGACTCTATCTGAATAAGCCATTTAATTCCATCAGAAAATTGTCAAAATATACGAATTTAGTTACAAGATACTTTACCGCCATCTGCCCAAACTGTGGTAAACACACATTTCCTGTGTTTGATGTAAAACAACATATAATAACACTTTTTCAAAGTCAGAAATGTTTGTGTTGTGACTTGCACTCCTTTCTATGTGACAACCTGAACAATTGTAATAGCAGTCGCTCTAAAATTCTTTTATGGTTTCTATCTCCTAAATGTATCATAAATCTGTTCTCTTTTCCACCGTCCATTTTCACTGTCCCTGTATTAGTTCATGTCCTTATTTCTAGCTTGGACCATTGCAGTAGCCTCTAACTTGCCCTCCTATCTCCAGCCTGACTCCGTTTCCCCCACACATGTCCACGCTGCTCTCAGCACCCAAATGCTGTGGCGTTTGTCACTGTCCCTCTGCAGGAGTGTCCTTCACAGGGAAATTTTACATGCCCTTCAAGCCTCAGAGTAGGCATAGCTTCCCTGTGCGCGTCTCTCCCTACTGTACCTTCACGGGCCCTCCACGATGGGACCTGCCACAGTAAAAGGCCCGCTTATGGATTTGTTTATAAGCCTGTTTCCCCACTTGGTTGTTTCTCCATCTTGTAGGGTGTAGAGAGCTTCCACTTTGCTCCCAGGGCCTCTGAACACATCCCCATGACACGTTACTCTGGTTCATTGCCTTAGGTTTAGTCTCTTTTCCCATCATTTGACCAAGCTCCTTGAGGTGGGGATTTGCCTTGAGTCCTTGAGCCCCTGAGTCAGTGCACTGCCAGGTCCTGGCAGCCTCCACCTTGCTGGCATACCTTGTGCCTTCCTGGCTTATTTGATTTCCGGAAGTCCAACCCCTCCCCCTCCTAACCTGAGAGTCTGGGAGGGGGAGGTTAAGAGGGCTGTTTCACCTGCAGAGTGAGTGCTGTCAGTCCCCTGCCCTTGTCATTATCTGCAAAGCCACTAGGGGGCAGGAAGTCCCCATCTTTCCCTAGATGAGGGTCCAGCCAGAATCAGGCAGCCTTCCCCAAGAAAAATCAAATCTCCAAAAGCTCAGGTACCAGAAGGTCATTTTGCAAAATGGCCACCTCAGCAGATAATCAACTTGCTAATCATTGAGGAGTTATTTGAAGCTTTGGTTTTACTCAGGTGCTCCCCAAATGCCAAATATTTTATTTAAGAGCAAGCGAGCTTTTTCTCAACGCAGTTTCCTGTCTTTTCTGTTTGAGGGAAACAATATTCTGCTAGGCCTGTGGCTCTGCCTCTGAACCGACCACCACTTCTGAAAGTGACACAGCTGGCGTGAACTGTACTGACTGGCTGGAGGCTTTCGTGTCATCTTTTAATGGACTGAGTTGATGTGAGTGGACCTCGCACCCAAGGGTGGGAGACTTTCTTACTAAGGGGGTAAATGGGGTGGGGATGGCGAGTTTGTCAGTGTCCACCAAGGTGTCTACCTTGGTGGCAGTGCCAGCACAACCAGGTTTCCTTCAACTTCTTAAGGAAGGTGGCCCCTCGAAGCCTGGTGGGGGCCCCCACAGCTCCTTCTTCCATGGGGTCTCCAGAAGTCTCAGCATCACCTCAGACATTTCAAAGACCAGGCCAGGAGTGAGAGTGCGAGCTCAGGTTCATGGAGTTGCTGGCCTCTGCGTCCCAATTACAGGTCTTCTAACAAGGGGGAACCCCAAGGTTAGGCCCCAGAGGACAAATACTGTCTGATTCCCCCAGTATGAAGTATCCAAAGTCATCAAAATCATAGAAACAGAACGTTGAAAGGTGGTTACCAGGGGCTGTGGGGAGGGGACGGGGAATTAGTATCTAATGGCTGTGGGGTCCCAGTGTCTGGGTGGGCAAGTTCAGGGGGTCTTTGCACCATCATGTGAGTGTACTTGACACTACTGAGCTGTGCACTTAGAAGTGGCTAAGACAGTAAATTTAATGTTATGTGTTTTTTTTACCATAATAAAATAACATTTGAAAAAAGTCTTGCTCAGTGTCCAACATCCTTCTCTCGTCTGAAGCTTTGGACGCTATTATCTCCTACCAAAGGGGTTTTGTTGTCAGAGCTCTTTGAAAGCATCGGAATGCTAGCATTTCAAGAGCTTTTCTAGCTGGGGTAAAGAAGCCTTTCACCCGGGAGGCAGCGTTAGTTAGTCAGAGGGCCTGAGTTCCTTGGGCCAGGGGTTTTAGGGAGTCTTCCTGGAAGAGGAGGTGAGGACTGTGCCAGGATGCTGAAAAGGCTGCCTCAGGGCAAGTTCAGGGAGCTTGTGGGAGAGGCACCGTCTTCACCGCCCTACTTCTGTCTTGGGAAACGGTCGTGGGCAGGGGTCGGCAAACTGAAGCTGGCGAGCCACATGCGACTCTTTGGGTACATACGTGTGTGAATTTTTCTTATTTTAATAAAGACATAATTAATACTATTGCTTGTTATGATATTACTTTAAATTGTTCTTATTTGTAAAAATATATTTATGGCTGTCGAAGAATAATTTTTAAATTGCTGTGAGGGACAGGATTGGCTCTTCTGTCGCCAAAGTTTGTCAACCCCTGGCCTAGGGCGTGCTGAGGGGTGGTGGTGGGGACCAGCTGGCCTCACTCAAAGCCCCTAAAGACACTCTCATTGCTGTTCTCAGCACCAGGAAGCCACCCACACAGCCCCGGTGCCCTCCACACAGCGATAGTTCTCTGGGGACCCTTCTGAAGCGTGGCTTGGGCACGAGCAGTGATGCCCTCTCACGTCCCCTCCTCCTTTTCAGTCTGCAGCTGCACCAGGGGCCCCACTGTGTAGTGAACCCCAAAGGTGGCCAGCGCCCTGGAAGGTGTGCACTGCCCCTTTCTAAGCGCGACGGCCCCTGACGTTTCACCCTGTGATTGGCACTAACTCAACTTCCCCTGTGGCTGCATTTGTGCCCCTGTTTTTTCAAAGCCCATTTCTAGAAACCTCTTCCTCCTCAGAAGCGCCGTCGGAAAGATCCCGCCCCCGCGTTCCTCGGGGCCCCTCCCCGCCTTGGTATTCTGTTTGCCTGAGGAGGGAGCAGCTGCTTCCATCCAGCCCAGCAATGCAGCAGGCAGAGCTTGGAGGTTCTGAGACCATGGCAGGCCAGGGGACAGGACCGAGGTATGTATGTGCGTGCTGTGCGTGCTGTGTAGAAAGGGTCGGTGTAGACATCGACCCCAAGAGGGGAGAGGGGCCACCCTGGGGCATGATGTCAGGGCCTCTGGGACGGTCCCTTGTCATCCAGCACTGGTCTCCCCAGCTTGGGGGTGCAGGGCACACACAGGCTTCCAACTTCCTAGGAGGGGGCCCCACCAGGGCTGAGATGAAGGCCTAGTTGGGGGGACAAAGGTGGGTGGCAGTCCTCAGGAACCCCCTGACTGCCATTGTGCCATCAACAGCACCCCCCCACACACACACACAACACACACCGTGAGGCTGGCAGCTGGGACCCTGGTTTCCCACATTACCTTTTCAAATATTCCCAACCTTTGCACAGGTAGATCCCACTAACTGAGCGTTGAAGGCAGTCCATGGTTGCCAGAAACAGTATTTCTGACTTTACCTACATTGAAGTCACCTGGGCTCCCACCCATGAACTCTTTCACTTCTTCCTGCTGGGCTGGGACTGCGTCCTCCCAGGGCCGGGCTCTGGGCGCGCTCTGACCACCGTTTTCCATGGGTGTGCACAGCCCCTGAAGCGGGAGGAACCCTGCACCACTGGAGGCTTCGCCTGGACGCCTGAAGCCTGCTCCCCTGGGGCTGTATCCTGAGAAGGTGGAGGCCGCTTTAAGTCTAGAGTGCTGGAGAGAAAGCTTTCTTTTTTCCCCTCTCCATTGTTCTGCTGGGTCCCCAGAGTGGTCTGGAAGGTGATCGAGGGAAATGCGGTTTGGGACAGGGGAGAGTGCGGGAGGGGAGGGTTTCGGTTCCCTTTTAACCTTGAAAGTATTTTCTATGTGCTTGGCAGAAAACGGTACAGGTTGGGCAATTGTATGTACTCATGTCTGGAGAGAGAGAGAGAGAGAGAGAGAGAGAGAGAGAGAGAGAGAGAGCGAGAGAGCGCGCAAGCTGATCCAATATGGCGTCTTTGGAAGGAGTCCAGCAAATGCTCATCATTCAGTCACACTGTGATGGGAACCATGAAACACAATGGTGCTCACTTGGCAAAGAAATTTCTTTCTTCTTCAGGCATGCTGGAAGTCTGTGCTTATTTACACACTAGTGTTTTTTTGGTTTTGTTTTGTTTTTTAATTTACAAAAATATACCACTTCAGTGGCTTGGGATACAATGTCAAGTTACTTCTCTTTTATTGTCCAAAGTGACATCACTTCAATCTCCCTCTGCACTTCTAAAAACTGTTTTCCTTCCGTTCTTCACCCTCTTCCCCCCGACCGCTCACTTGACACCCTTTATTGAGCATATAATATATTCCAGGCACAATATTAGGGGCTAGGGGTACAGAACAAGACAGGCATGGTCTCTGCTTTTAGGAATTTCATGCTAAGGGCAGTAGAGAGAGAAAATGAAAAAGGAGACAAAAAATAATATCGGATAGAAACAGTGTTATGATGAAAATAATGGAGCGTCAGGAGATGGGGAGTTAGGGTGAGGGTTTATTTTATTTTATTTCATTTCATTTCACTTTATTTTATAGCAGTGTGTCAGAGTGAGGAGATGGTCTTAGAAAAGTCCCAACACTGAATGGCCTTAAGTGACAAAGCAGTTTGTTTTTCCTGGGAATAACAGTTCTGAGGTGGGTGTTTTAGGCTGAGGCTGGAAAGATCCAGGTGATTCTAGAGCAGAGACCAGGCCTCTGCTTGCGGCCCTGATGAGCTTCTCCTCGCCTCAGCCTACTGCGTGTCCTTGACAAAGGCGTTGACGGTACTAACTTTCCTACCTTCTCTGACTCCCTGCTTGCAGGGCAGTGAGGTCCTCCCTTCAGCAGGCCCCTGACACTGTTCTCTTCAAAGGTATGCATGGTCAAATAGCTACACACAAAGCACTTTTCTCATTCTTCACTCTTTTTGGCTGCATTTCTTGGTTTTTGGTCAGCAACCATCCTCTTGGACATAAGCAAGCATTTATCGAATGCCTTCTCTATGTTGCAGGCACAGGGGCTGAACAAAACAGAACAAGTCTCCATTCTCATGGAATTTACCCTTTAGTGGTGGGGAGACAAAAAAGAAAACAATAAGCAAGTAAACGCACAATGTGAAAGGTGGTAGCCGTGGGTGCTGGGGAGAAAAATAGAGCAGGGTGCAGGGGACGGGGAGTGCGGTGGGACACAGAAGGGCAGGTTGCTCTTAAATATAGGATGACTGCAGGCCTCCTGTGCCACATGGACAATGTGGTGGAGGCCTAAGGGAAGTGAATCTGCCTTGCACAAGTCTGGGAGAAGAATATTCTAGCTCAGATGAATAACCAGCACAAAGCCCCAAGATCACATGTTTGGGGAAGAGCAGGGAGGCTGATGTGACGAAGTCAGACAAAGCAAGGTGGGCAGGGTGGGGCTTGAGGTCAGACAGGCAGCCGGGGCCTGGATTGGGTCGGTCTTGGACCACTGGGTCACGTGGACACCCCTGGTTGGAAGGGAAACTGGGAGAGAATGTATTAGTTTCCAGTTGCTGCTGCAACGTATTTCCACAAACTTAGTCACTAAAAACCCCACAGATTTCTTATTCTGCAGTTCTGGGAAGGTCAGAAACCCTAAAGTCAAGGTGTTGGGCAAGACTGTGATCCTTCTGTGTGCTCTACGGGAAAATCCGTTTCCTTGCCTTTTCCAGCTTCTGGAGTTCGCCTGGAGTTGGCTTGTGGCCCTTCCTCGTCATCAAAGCCAGCAGGGTTGCATGTGCAAATCTCTCTCACTCTCTGAGCTCTGCTTCTGTTCTCACACCTCCTTTATCTCGTTCTGACTTTCCGGCCTCCCTGTCATAAGAACCTCTTATAATGTGATTACATCGGGCCCACCTGGATACCCCAAGATTCCCTCTCCATCTCAAGATCCTAATCTCATTGGCAAAGTCCCTTGTACCATGGAATGTAGTGTAGTCACAAATTCTGGAATTAGTCCATGGAAATCTGAGGGCGGGGCATTATTCTGTCCGAGAGGGTGTCTAAATTTCTCCCAGCACGTGTAGTGGGTGATGTGTGTAGAGTAAACGGTTGTCGGTTTAGTCAATCCACAGTGTTTGACACTTTACCAAAATGAGTTTATTTCACAAGAGTGCCGAGAAGATCCTGTTCTCTGGAGCAAGCATTTCTTGTTCCAGCCTAGCCTGAGTCGAGAACTTGGGCAGCCTCAATCCTTTGGGGAAAACTTGAGTCAAAAAGAGAACGCACTTTCTGGCTGTCCCTCAGTTCACTCTGTGTGTGAGCTCAATGTTGACGTGTTGCTTTCTGTCCCAGCAGAACCCGCGGGAGCCTGTGTCAGGAGGGTGCATCAGAGCAGGGCTGCTCCCCGCAGGAACTGAGGCTTCTCCTCCTGGGGAAACAGGGTGCAGGAAAAAGTGCCACAGGGAACACTCTTCTGGGCAAAGCTGTGTTCACGACCAAACTCAGTGGGCAGATGGTGACGAAAAGTTGCCAGAAAGAGGAGAGCAGCGACAAGAAAGGGGAAAAGGTGGTGGTCATCGACACCCCCGACCTTTTCTCCTCACAAGCTTGTGCTGAAGACAGGGAACAGAACATTAAAGCCTACTTAGCGCACTCTGCGCCCATCCTCCACGCCCTGCTGCTGGTAATTCGCATCGGCCGCTTCACGGAGGAGGACTCACAGACAGTCCAGGGCATCCAGGAGGTGTTTGGAGCTGAAGCCAGGAGGCACACCATTGTAACCTTCACTCGGAAGAATGAATTGGGAGAAAACGAGTCGATGCGAGATTACATTGACAGCAACAAGTCTGTTAAAGAGTTGGTTCAAAACTGTGAAGGCCGATACTGGGCTGTCGAAAACAAGGCAGGTGAGGATCAGAGGGACAGCCAGGTGGAGGAGCTTCTCGACATGGTCAAGAGTTTGGTGAAGAGCCAAGGACCATATCGCGTGACCTCCAGAAATGAAGGCCGTGGGTTCCAGGTGAGAGTCCTCGTTAAGGTCCGCAAGGATCTCTATGTTGCTAGAGCAGGTGGGAAGCAGACGGGCACAAATAAGTGAAATGTTTCACGGGCTTTGTTTTAAGGGGATATTTATTCATAACATGGAAAGAGGAGGTGTCAGATGGTAGGTGACTTTGAATATTACCCTTTGGACTTTATTGGTAAATTAATGGATACATTTAAGTCCTTATCTAACTTTACCCCTCATCGTTTGGGACACACAAGAGAATCATTAGATCCTTTCTCCCCTTGGCTTCGGTAAAACTACCCTGTTCTTGTTCCTCCCCCTCTCTCTGGAGGTTGCTGAGTCCTCCTCTAAGGACCTCTAGAAGTTGGCATCTGCAGTCTGGTTCTAGCCTTTCCTCAGCTCTCTACACTCTCTCCTCAGGTGATCTCACATTTTTATGGCTTTCAGCACCATCTACTGCTAACAGTTTCCAAATTAATAGCCCTAGCCCAGGTCTCTTCTCTGAGTTCTGACTCCTTTAGCCAACTGCTACTTGACATCTCCACTTGGGTCTCTTACAGGATCTCAAAATTAACATGTCCAAACTTCCTGTTTTCCCTCTTAAATCTGTGAAGACTTCTACTTTCCTCTCAACTTGGTAAATGGTTGTGCTGCTCACCACGCTCTTCATACCTAAACCCAGAGGTCAGCTTTGATACCACAGCTAGCTTGCATCTATGATCCAAGAAATCCTCAAGTCTGTGCGATCAATGCATCTGGAACCCACCTGCTTCTCTTTACCTCCACTACCACTGTCTGGCCCAAGGCAGCCTCTCCTACTGCCGGTGCTATTTTACAAATAATAGCAGCTGCTAACAGCTTCCCCCTCATTCATTCTTGCGCCTTATACTCCCGTCCACTTCACACACAGCAGCCAGTGTGATATTTTATTTAATTTTTAAACTTGAATGGAAAATGTATTCGTAGCTAAGAAAGATACAAAAATGCAAGCTTTTGCCTCTGAGGAGCTTACACTTCAATTGGGGTGACTTACGCATAAGAAACAAAGCAGTTACTGGTTCAGTGTAAGTAAATAAATGTTGGTATAGAGAAGACTATATAGAGAGAGAAGTCTATAAATATAAATGCCAGAGAACGTAAAGGAAGCAAAAATACACATAGGGTAATTTTAGGCAGAGTGAATCTTCTTAGACACAAATTCCAGACATAAACATGAACTCTATGCGGAGGTGTTCATCTATACAGATGAGGATACTGAGGCTCAAGAGAACTTAAGTCACTTGCTCTGTTATCTCTTATCTCCTAGGCCTAAGTGTGTTCTCTCTCTCTCTCTCTCTCTCTCTCTCTCTCTCTCTCTCTCTCTCTCTCTCTGCTTTATGAACATCTGTCTCTCCATTAATGGCTGCATGGAACAGGGATGACAGCAGAGAGGAGAAGGGGCACAGAATGAGTTTTCTACAACGTCACCTGAACTCAACACTCTCTTACTTAAAATGCTTCAGTGACTTCCCCCTGACCTGCAGATCAAGTTCAGAATCCTTGACCTGACCTGGTCCCTCACACTCTGCTTTGCTCTCTACGTGCTCATCTCACTGGCTTTTCCTTTGGTCCTTGAGTTATGCTCATGTCCACTCCAGAGCTTCAAACCTGTGACTTTCTCTGCCTTCACACTCCCCGTCTCCCATCCCGCCTCATACCGGTCTGTTTTTATTTCTCCACCTGCCTCAGCTTAAACTCGCTTCTTCAGGGTGTCCCTCCCTGATGGTCCCGTGGAGCAAGCTCCCACAGCTCTGCTCCCCTCACGGCGCTCTGCACACGGCTATCATCATATCAAAGGAGTCCTATGAGCATATTTGCAGGGGTTTCCTCCCCACAAATTCCATGAGGACAGAACTCAGATCTCTTTTGTGACACCAGTCTCTCAGCTTCATCTTCTGTGAAATGGAGATAATAATAATAGATACCTCAGAGACTGTGGTGAGGAGTAAACGAAATGCTGACAATGTTGTTTGCAAATACTTGAAAGTGGGTAAATGTTCAATAATTATTAGCTGCTATATTATGATTGTTATTACAGAACTAGATGAGGTCCAAGTAAATTATGGAGACATTAAGGACTTTAACAATCCAGAGATTGGGCAAGATTCCTACTTTAAGAACTATATCATCCTGAAATAAAAATATTAGTATATATAAAGGTATATGTACAAAGATATTTATCACTGCATATTTTGAAATAGTAAAGCCAGAAATAACCTGAAGGTCTATCAAGAAAGGAATGGTTGCATGAATTGTAAATAGTTGCATATGGAACAAATTGTATTACGAAAAAACCAAAAATAAAAACTACATGTATTGACTTTGTAGATGTACAGGACATATAATTAAGCAGATTGCAGAACTGTAAGCCTAGTAAATCTCCTTATATGTTCATATTTGCTTGTGTGTATTTGTATAAACATAGAAGGCTATACATGAGTCAACAACTGTTACTTTTCTGGTGGATTGGAGATGAAAAAATTATTAATTTTTAGATCATACACATATGTATTGTAACAATCCTTTGGAGTTTAAAAAACACAAAAGAATTTGAGCTCAGCTATGTAAAGTGAAAGAAGTCTGATAATCAGAGCTGAATGAGAGGACTCTGGGAAAGAGGTGATTGAAGATATCAGCGGGTTTGGGTAAGACCAGGTAAGAGAGCAGAGGGAGACTTTCCTTGGCTGGCATGGAGATTTAATGAAGATAAGGTTAAAATAAAGTACAGGAAGCATCTAAGAGTAGCAGATTCATCAAGATTGCGTGTCATTGTTTTCACCTTCTCTTTTGATTCCACGACAATTTAAATTTTGGGGGCTGTATAAGGTTCACCAGGCAGGTGAAGAGGATGCCAGTTATGTGGCTCTCCATCCTCTGTCATCTCCACTGGCCCGCCTGAATGGGGAAGGTTCCAAAATGTACTGGACTTACGTTAGAAGGTTCCTCTCTACACTGGGGGTGCAGTGACGGAAGGAGACATTGGAGATAAGTGTGGAAGCTCATTCCCACTCCCCGCACTCCTCTTGTCCCTCAAATGCACATCATGGGCATCACTGGGCCAGTTTCTTCTTCCAGGGAGTCCAGAAGCTCTCCTTAAGTCTCTGGTTTTTCTCCAAGAATAGCAGAAACTATGGAAGACTTTGGAAGAAATTACTATTAGGAACTAGAGAAGTAAAGTTAGAGAGAGCTTCAGAGAGCTTGGTTAGATGGCATCGGTGGGGCTCCTCTGAGTGAGGACCCATCCCGGGTCTGGGACATGTATCGCAGCAGCAGCAGCAGCAATGGGGTTGCAAGATTGACTGTCGTTATGGACAGGTCTGCAAGGGCCAGCAAGGACCACAGCCATGGCCTTGATTTGACCACATTCTAATCATCAGATTACTCTGAATTATATACTTGTGTCTCCATTCTTTCATTTTGTGAATAGATGAGAATTTTGATTCGAGTACATCATTTTCCTCCTTTATTTTCTAGGTCCCTGTGAATGAAGCCAAATCTCAGAAGGGGGACAAGCCACATAGTAAGATGATCTTTACAAAATGTTAAGCTCATACCTGTATTCTTTTGAATGCCTTGCGCCTCAAAGTGAAGTGGGAAAAATACCTAGATAAGTGAGAACAACAATGCACCCTGGAGACCTAGCTCAGATCGGTGCCTACTGCTGGTCTCCCAGGGAACTCCTAACACTTTTGAGTAGGTGTAGAAACAGAAAAGGTCCTAGACATGGTGTGACTCTCCCTGACCTTCTCTGAAATGTTACAGAGCTGGGCTTGCCTTCACGCCTCTCCCCTGACTCAGCCCCTTCTTCCTGGCTTAGGATCCAGCACTATCCAATTTTTAATTCCTTCCTACTAGGAAAGGACTAACGTGCAGAATTCAGTGATGGAGCTCAGTATCCCGTAGTGATTGTCACCAATGAGACATCCTGTACTCTACACATATCTGTATAGATAAATCTACCTTGTTCTGTGTAGCAAATGCAATTTGGTCCAAAGGGTGGGCATACACAACTAATTCAACCATCCCTTTATCGATGGCCTTTCTGGTTATTTCTCAGCCATCTCTGTGCAAGAACTGAATAGCTCTGTCCTCATGGAAATCTCCAAAATAATAACTAAAATTAAAATTTTAATAATAATAATTGCAGCTGACATTATGTGCTGGAAAATTATATATAATTTTATATATTATATATAATTTTATATTATATATATATATATATATATATGTGCCTTTTGACTGCAATGAAAGACACAATTAAGTTTAACATGGCTGTGATGAGAAATGACTTTTAGTGTGAGCCATCTGAAGGAACTGGTAATCCACTGATGGTATATATGTATTTCTGTGGAATGATTTTCAAATACCTCAAGGAGATTTTGCTACAGTTAGCATTGGCTGGCAGCAGGAAGATACAGTCACAGCAGGAACAGAAGACAAAGAGATGAGATGTGTGGATGACCCAGCTGAGTAGGTGAAGAGTAATAAAGCACAGGGCTTCAGAGAAGGTACCAGAAAAAGGGAGTAAATTCAGAGATAGGAACAGTGGCGTGTCAGGGATGAGCAGTGGCCCAAGTCCTGCTCCTGAGTTCACTGTGTGATGGAAGAACCCATTCCTGTGCTTGGGATGGAGCTGCCGGGTGAGAGGGCGGTCTTGCTGCTCCCCGAGTGCCTCGGCTGTATGTACAGCATAACTTTGAAAGGTGTACCCGGACCAGCCCACAGTCATGAACCATCCCTGTTTGCTTTCCAACAGAGACCCTGAACATTGTCCTCGTGGGGAGGAGCGGGACTGGAAAGAGTGCGACGGGAAACACCATCCTGGGGAGTTCCGAGTTCCGCTCGCAGCTCCAAGCACAGCCACTAACCAAGACGTGTCAGGAAAGCAAGACGACGGTGGCTGGTCAGGACATTGTCGTTGTGGACACTCCTGCGCTCTGCCTGCTTCTTGCTGAAGGAGACACATCCGAGCTAACGAAGCTCCAAGGGTATGTGTTCAGCTGTGAAGACAGGGACACCATCTTTGTCCTGGTGCTCCAGCTAGGACGATTCGTTCAACAGGACCAAAAGGTGGTGAAGATGCTACAGGAAATCTTTGGGGAAAAGGTTATGAAGTACACAATCATACTGTTCACCCGGAAGGAAGACCTAGGGGACGGGGATCTTGACAATTATGTGAAAAAAACAGATAACAAAGCTCTTAAGAAGCTAATTAAACAGTGTGCAGGGCGAGTTTATGCTTTTAACAACAAAGAAACTGGTCAAGCCAGGGAGGAACAGGCAAGAGGTCTTTTGGAAATGGCCAACAAGCTGATAAGTAGCCATGGAGGGCACGGATTTTCCCACGCACAGGAGAATGTCAACAAAACAAAAATGTGGCCAAAAAAAGTACCAAACCTAAAGAATTTCAAAGATAAGTCATAGGCAGCTGAAATGCCTGGGGTCTCCAGTGGGGGTAGGCATGGTAGGGCTTGAAAAGTAAATGCACCTCACCTTGTGATGCTTCAGCTCTTTGTAGTTAAATCAGTTGTCAGGCTGGGGCAGGTAGTAGGGGGTTATAAAGGAAATGAACATGACTTGAGTGAGGTTTCAAAAGATTGTATTGCTAATCATCACAGTGAAATAGGCTAGAACCAAAAGCAGAAGCAGACTAGAATTGCCGTGATCAGACAACCTTGCAGAGTCCTAAAATTCTAAGTATAATTCTAGATTTCCTCTATAAAAAACTATTGAAAGCTCTTTTGCTCTTCTGTCTCCTCTCTCTCTCTCTCTCTCTCTCTCTCTCTCTCTCTTTCTCTCTTTCTGTTAGGAATTAGCTTAAAACTCAGAAAATGCAAACAAAAATGGTTAAACACATTAGGAGCTTATAGTGTCTCACATCAAGATGTCCAGCAGAGGCTGTCTGAGGCTGGGGTGGTACCAACGCTCCAGCTTTGTTCTCATGCAGCCTCCACATGTCAGGCACCTTCTTGGTTCCAAGGGGGTGACATCCTAACTGTGACTAAGCAGATTACGTTGACAGCTGCCTGATATGGGCACTACACGAGAACTATGGAATCTTCACCCAGTAGATGTAGGGCCAGGTGATTTCAAGATTAACCACTTTATAGATGTTTCAAGAACAAGATCTGTCATCTGCTTTTGTTTTTTTGAAAGCATCAGGCTACCTTCAAGATTAACCCATTTATGAATGCATGGGCTGTCACCACTAATCCTTTTGTACTACATAACCCTTAACATGACAAATTCTGGAAAATGTGTGTGTAAATATATTCAGTTGAGTGAAATAATAAAGATGAATTATGTTATGGATTGACATCCTCCTGATTCCTATTTTTCTGACTCAGGGAAGTCATGCCTCGATGGAGAGCAATGGGATGTTTAGATACCTCGACTCCGGTGAGGTTTTTGCATCTTTGGTGCCTGAGGACCTTTAGACTGTGTGGCAGGCCCTGTATTAGGCCCCCGCCAGCTTGGGGATCTCCCACTCTGGGCTTTCACTACAGCAAGGACAGATAAATGGAACCTGGATTAGAGCCAGGAACATGGGAGAAGAAGGTCTAGAAGGCACTTGTGCCTCTTTCCAGGGCTTTCCTTCTGTTTGAAGGCAGGAACAAACCCCAGGGTGGTACCCATGGAGGAACAGGGGAGTGGGGAGCTGAATGAGGTTGGGATGTGTGGGCACCTTCTCCCAGGTAGGACCTCACACATACTCGTATCGCCACTTTATGACCACTCTTGAGTGGAAGGCGGGGGGACGGGGGACAATACTGCTGTGTCAGCTCCTCCTAGAAGCACTTGCTGACAAAGAGTAGGAGGGCAGGAGGTGTATTGGGTGTGGGGGATGGAGGAATGCCTGTTAAAAGACGAAAGGGAGGAAGCAGAACTGGGCAGAGAAAGACCCCAGACCTCACTGCAGATCTGACATTTGCAGAAGGAAAGAGGGGAGGGGAGCTGGGTTGGGTCAGGAGAGCCTCAGGTCTCACAAAGCCTGTGCCAGCTGGGTAGGGGGTTCTGGGTCAAAGCCTGACCAATAGCCAAGTCCTGTTGTGCAGATGCTGAGCTCAGCCCTTGGCTGGGAGCTGCCTGGGAGGGCATGGCTTTGGCTCAAAAGCTAAAGTGGGTCCTGACAGCGTTGGAGCTGGAAGAGGTCAGCTAACTGCTAAGAATGCCTTTTTGTTACTTCTTCATTTTTTAAATGCTGTATATCAGATTCCTAGAAAGACACAAACTCCTGAAAGTGACTCAAGAAGAAATAAAAACCTGAATATACCTACAAAAATAAAGAGATTAAATTACTAATTTTAAAAACAACCCCAAAGAAAAACCCTGGACCAGATGGCATCACTGGTGAATTCTACTAAACATTTAAAGAAGAATTAACACAAATACTTTGTAAACACTTTTAAAACATAGGAGAGGAGGAAGTACTTCACAATTCATTCTATGAGGTCAGTGTTATTCAGACAAAGATATTACCAGAAAACAAAACTACAGACCAATATCCTTTATGAATATAAACAAAAAAATCCTCAACAAAGTGCCAGCAAATCAAAATAGCAACCAATGAAAAGAAGTACCTACTGTGAGAAGTGTACCATGTGTAAGTATACGTATCTGGGATTTATCCCAGAAATGCAAGTTTGGTTCAGCATACAAATATCAATCAATTTATTACAGCATATTAATAGAATACAAGACAAAAATCATGTGATCATCTCAAAAGATACAGAAAAATTGTTTGTCAAAACCCAACACCCATTTATTCTAAAAACATTCAGTAAACGAGGAAGAAATAGAATCATGATGTTCTTCATCTTACTATCCTTTTATGCTTCTCAACTGCCCTCACACGTCCCAGACTCCTTGGCATTTTAAGCAAAGCTCTTCATGTTGTGTCATCCATTTATAGCTCCACTCATCTGTCAGTGTTCTCGCTCAGGTGTTTACACCTGAGGGTCCTGCCTTTCTGCCCACATGGCTTCCTACAGCATTCTCCCCACATCTGGCAGTTCCCCCACCTCCCCAGCATGCACACATGCTGTGGGTGACTACTCCAATTCATCCTCTAGGTTTAAGGATTCATCTTAAAATCTCATGTTCTTAAGAAAGTTTTCTGCTCCACTCAAGCCTAACTTAAGTGCCCTCCTATTTATTTGGTCCTATTATATATTCTATGCATACCCACATCAAGTGCTTGTTATTTCTTGTCTGTATTCCCAAGTATATTGTAAAATCTTTGGTGAGAAAAGACTCTTGTTAAATTGTATCCCAATATCTGATTTGTCCATGGCCTTCAATGTATAATTTGTCAGTCACAAGTCAGTTGAGTGTCCCCTGATCCTGGATGACATGGTGAAATTTGGTCCAAACACTAATTTCACAATGTGTAAGAGTTCAAAGTCCTCCCCTCTATTTCTAAGAGTTCCCTCTCCTTCTTCCTCAACCTTTTCTCTGTTCCCTCATTCCTGTGAAATTATGCACTGTTTCTATTTCAGTCTACGAGCCTGAAAGCCTAAAGTGCAGTGCTTTTTACTGTTTTTAAAAAGATTGGTATTTACACACATTATTCATATTCAGGTTTTCTTTTCTTTTTTTTTTTAGTTTTAGAAATTTTACTGGAGATTCTGCAGAGTACAAGGGTCAGCACACAGACTTTTCTGGTTTTGATCACTCTCTTCTCTTTGCCTTCTTTTA